CCCACAGCCCAGCCAGCCTTGCCAGGGATTGCGCTGAGCCTGGCTCAGGTGCGACCACCCGAGATCCGCACCCAAGGATGCGGCCCCAACCTGAGGCGCACGGGCACCAGGTCAGCGGCACTCTACAGGGATGCAGGCATTCGTCTGGAAACAGCAGCATTTCAATGCTGTGACGAACTCTGAACCCCAGTGAGGCACCCAGCTTGGTAAACCAGTAAGGAAGATGCCTAAAAACCCGAAGTGTGGAAGGCAGCAGACTGCACAGACAGCTGACTAAGAAAATCATTCAAGAAGTCACCTGGTGGGTGGGGAACTGGCTGAATTTAAGAGTGCCAATTCACAAGCTGCAAGGAATTAAGGCTACTGTGCCATGCAAGGACAACTTAAACAAGTTTCTTAACTGCCAAAGCACCTAAAACCCCTGGTGATAGCAAACAGAAAATTCACAAGTTGTTTCCCCCGTGGTTCAGCCATCAAATGCAGGGGTGTGCAGCCGCCAGGAAAGCAGGGACAGCTGGGGTGGCAGCACATACCAGTGAACCCACTTCAGTATACAGCTGTTCACACATTCAACATGCTCGAGCAGCTGGTGACCTCCCTCCAGCCTCCCTCCTCTACCAAAGTCGACCATCTCTTTCTCAAGCACAGCCAGAGGTTGGCTATCCCTCCCACATCCACCATCACTTCTACAGCCAGGCTCTCCCTGGAGAAAGGAGAGCCTCAGCTTCGAAGCCTTGCTCCACATTGGGAGGCAATCAAACCTGGTTATCACTCCCAAGAGATACATTCATCACTGGGCTTGTGGATCAGAACCGGACAGACAAATCAGACCCCAAAAGATGCATCCCTTCCCTACACAGACAGAGAGGCTGGGACATCTCCTGGATGGGCCCCAGACAATGCAGACGGGGAGCAACCCCATCCTCCTGAAGGTCAAGGAAGTCAATTTTGAGAACTCAGGAGCTGTTAAATCTCCATCTTGAGCACACACCCAGAACGCCAGGAGACAACTCCAGTGGTCCCTGCCTGCCAGCCACGCAGGAGGTGACAGGAGTTACACACTTGCTAAGAAATTAAGTTTGTAACTGTTTCTTGGTCAAGTCTCACCAAGTGCATTCACAACACACTCCAATTACCAGCAGATCTGTTGGTTTTATTCATGTTTGGTTTTTTGTCTGTTTGTTTTCGTTAAGGAATACCTACTGTTAACCTTACTATAAGTGTAAACATTTGGTTCAATAGCTTTAACTGCAAAACACTGCTAGAGTATAGATGATTTGGATTTATTATGTGCATTTATTACTTCAGTTTTCTGGATGCTGAATGCCCTCAAGTGTACTAGGAAGCTACAGGGTCTCAAGAGATAGCAGCCTGCAATATTCGGAGTAACATTTTTGAAAGTTTTCTAAGCCACTTAGAAAACCGAGCTTAAAAATGAAGGAGATACTTAGGAACATTCATCACTTTTGAATATGGGATCTTGGCACTTTGTCTAAGAAAAACAATTGAACAATGCAAGATTCTCAAAAAAGGGAAGTTTTACAGATAAACTAACAGCACTTGATTTATTTCACAAGACAGCCAAGGATGGAGGGTGGTTCACATTTCTGTAGTAAAGCATTATATATAAATTTAAAATCTAAAGACATATATATTTATATATGTATATACACACATATACCAAGTTTACTGCAATGCATAAATATATAAACTTTTTAATATGCCAACTAATATAGGTCAGAAAATTGATGTCTATAGTTCAAGTTTTGCAGCACTTCAGCATTATAAAAATAAAATAAATAATGGTCAATGGATTGGCTGCTGCCCTCTTTCCCCCACATCCCTTTGCTCAGAATCAGGGTAATTCCAACCACACATCAGGTTGGAAGGCTATGGAAGGACTGAGACGAAGTGCGATTCAGAACGTCTCTTCAAGAAGTATTCAGTTATATTTAACTATTTGGTACTGGTTTGGGACTGCATTTCAGCAGATCTAAGATGATTCACTAGAGATGATGGAGGATGACACTAACACAGCTCGGGGCAGAGACTGGCTTGTCTGAGGTCCACAAAGTTGCAGAGTGAAAAATATTCTATGTCGTTATAATACTGGTTATATAAAGTCTCTTTTTCTGAGGGCAGGAGGTCTTATTTCTATTTCCATCTGTCTCATTTGATTCCCTTTAAATAAATACAGGTTGTGTCCCACTGATCACAACAATAATGAACTAAAGAATTGAGGTAAAGTGTTCTACCAGCTGATCTTGACTACAAACAGAAGTCAATTAAATATCGCTACTGATGTGAACAAGACTTCCTAAGAAATAAAATGCAAGATACTAAATTCTTCACTATAACCGCACCATAAACCCCAGCTTTCGAAGTCAGACAGCAGTAAACAAGACTGTACCTTAGCACAGAAATAATCAGTAAACCAACTTGTGATCCCAATTTATAGTTGCTGTACAAATTTTCCTTAACTCTTAGTAAAAAAAAATCATGTTTTCCACAAAACAAATATATCCTTGTCATATTTCACTTTTAAGAGAGATAAAATGCACCTTCCTATAAACCTCAGTCTTAAAAACCATTCTGAGTTGGCAAGCGATCTGCAGAAAAAAGGAAAACAACCTATTTTCTTTAACTCACCAAGTTTTGTTGTGTTTTACCAAAAGCAGCAATCATCATTAACCATTCCAAACACCGTTTCCTTTTTCGCCTCAAGAAAACAGTCACCAAACCCCTCGACAGAAACGCACACCTCCCACCTGCACACCAGCTCATGGGGCTGCTCAAATGGCAGCGTAGAAAAAAGTGTACTTCTCTGTAATGTACTGTAGCCATTTCAGATTAGTCCATTTTAAATATATTAAAAATATTTGTACGAATGAAAACGTTGCAAATGAATGAAAAACCGTATGTACACACCTCCACCATTTTTAGGCACAGACCTTAACTTTTGAGAAAGGACTAGAAATAAAAGGTGCAACAACCAACACCTCCGATGGCGTTACGGTCAAACAACAGTCTTTGCGGTACACCAGGAAGGTTGGTTTTCATGTAGCTTGTGTGTATTACAGCTATCCAGTCCAAGATAGCACATTATTCTTATCAGTTCCCCTCAGGGGAAACGTGTCGTAAATCTTTTTTGCTTTTCAATCGACTTTGCCGGAGGAACACCAGTTCCCACCAGGCTTCAGACACAGAAAACCTCCTTCAATAGCACGGTTTGAACTCCAAACGGTTACGACTGAAGGTGTTTCCTTGATCTCCCCTTTTATTTCCCCCCCTCTCTTCTTTTTAATGTATACTTGTTATTTGTTCCCAAAACAAGAACTGAGACCCAAGCTTTTTTAAGCATTTAAAACAAAAACAGGTACCATACCAAAGCACAGCATACAGTGTAAGTTTCAGCTGTAATTTCTCAGCTTTTCCTTTAAATAGAGCTATATTATGGTGGACTGCACGGAATTCTTCCAGTCTCCTCCACGGCTCACGGAGAAGGTACGCGAATGCGGAACAATCCTTGTTGAAGCTGCAGTCGAAAGAGCTTGCAGTTTGCGATCCGCAAAGCTGCGCAGCCAGTGCGGCGGAGGTCCGATGTTTTAGTGCGCTGCCAGGTTCCCGTGCTTCTTTTAAATTCTCTAACGTAGTCATAATTTGTGCCTAAATTCACACATGCACAAAAAAAAAACCGCTTAAAGCATACTGTAGCTATTAGCACATTTAACCCCTAATAAGTCAAATACATGGACAAGAGCATGCACAGAAACAAATAAATTTCTGGATGTATGGTTGAAATGATTAACAAAAAGAAACTGCTATGACATTCCTCATCTACTTAAACCCACCACATTTAGAATTCTGCTCTTTCATACTTTGCAGCAAGCCCTGTTACACACTCATGTACAGACTGCCATGAAAGCACATAGTCTTCCAAGTGGTTTTTTACAGGACGTGGCCAGATGCTGAAAGCTAAGTTTCAACTGGGATTTAGAGCCAAGAGCCACCATCACATCCATATGAACCACTGGATGATGTCCCCAAAATGCAGGAACACCTGCTTATTGCTGCAACAATGGGACAACCAGCCTCAGGCACTAATATTTCTTTCTTACATTTAGACAAATGCAGTAACATACTCTCAGTCTTGATCTCTTCTGATCTTCAAACTGCTAATCAACCAAATGTTTACAGTGCTGAATTTGTTTCTGAAGAGCTCCAGTGCGCAAAACCAACCTATACATTTCTGTATGTCCAGCATAACACTCCTCCGAAGACTTAACAGAACATGGTCCCAGCTTTTTATTCCAAACAAATTTGGTCTCGTTAGTGCCGCACATATTATAGACAAGCAACAGGAGGTTATTAGTTCTAATTCCGACCTGTATCGAGATCTCCAATCACATATATGCTGGCTCCAATGGGCACTGCTCCATACACGAAAGAAGAACTAGTTGGGATACATAGGTTCTGGTCATTTAGATAAATCCACCTGTAAAAACAATAATTAAAAAATGGTATGTGATTTTTATTGAGGACATTACAAAAACAGGAGTCTTTTTGCAACTGTCACCTTTGATTCAAAACCAGAGCGTGCGAGTTAATTTGTTATGCAAACGCTGTTGGGAACAGTGTCTAGTTTGGGACAATCCAGGACAAGCAATTCGTACGGCTGCTTGGGAAGCTCAGGATACTTTATCCTGAAGTTGTTTTATTTCAGAACTGCTCCACTCATCTGTGTAATTTACCTGCAAAAAGTTCCTCTAGCACCCACCCAGCATGACCTTCCGGAAGAAGCAGGCATGTAAGAGAGCCTTTCCTACAACAGCTACGTCAGTCAACTTTCAAATTACACAGAAAATTTTAGGCTGCTTACTCTTAAAATCAGTAGAGTTATAAATGCATGTAAGTCTTAATAGTCCATACTAGGTGAAATAACAAGTTGCTATAGCAGGGTCTTGTTATTAAGCAGTGCCCTCCCTCAAATAATTTCCTAACTTCTCTAATGGTACTTTATGAGTGACAAGAAGTCCCCTGCCCAGTAAAAAGAATGCAGCACTTGGCAATGCTTAGCTTTAAGTAAGGAAGAGAAGACTGGAAATCAAAACAGTAAGGGATTTCAGAAAAGAAATGTCCATCACCTGGAATTGAAACAGACCTTCCCGATCGCATATCGGGCTCTTTTCAATCACTTTCTAGCTCCTATTATAATCTTACAAGTCCCCAGCGTTCATTTTAACTATATCACTTCAACACTACGTCAGCTTGATCTTGCTACCAAGTGAAAAGCAGCTTTCCATGTTGAAGCCTTTGGAAACCACATAAGTACACACTCATCACCCACATAGGACACCAGCACATAAAGATGTCCCATTTATCTAGAGCTGCCAGCATCCTCTCTGTGGTTTGGAAATAGATTTCTACAAAATGCTGCTGCACTTTAGACCGTGGACGCATACAAATCAATGCTATTTTAGCTGACTAAATATCTTATTAAATAATTCACAGAGAACAGGAAAGTTTGAGAAACCTCTGAAAAGCATCTCATGCGTTTTCAATGCCACACCTGGTTGATTTGAGGGAAGAGTTAGGAAATATCCTCACTGCTGACCTTTTAAAACTCTGCATCACCTGAATTCATGATTCAGAAGTAAGCCTCTCTTCTGGCACTGAAGGAGATGATGCTACACATCAATCACCTTGGAGAGAGATCAATTTTTAAAGGCAAAATGAGAGGATTTGCTGTTCATTATTTTGTCTGTGTTGTGTTTGTCTGTGCTTTGTGTCTGCTCTGGTGATCCTGCTCTGGCAGGGGTTGGACTGGATGAGCTTTTGAGGTCCCTTCCAACTCCTGACGTGCTGCGATACGCCAAAGGATTAAGATTCTACAGCGAGGTTGTACCTGTCACAGTGGACGACAAATGAACTAAGAACAGAGAAAAGAAGTCCTCTGTGCTGACTCCAAAACTATTACAGAGCAAAGCACCTATCACTCTACTTCATTAGCTTCCTTCTCTTACTGTGGGAAGACGACACTGTCAGTATTTTCACTGCTTTTTAGCACCAAGATTCCTAGAATTACAGAAACTGAGTAAGTGGCAGCAAAATGCAAGAGAAATATTGCAGTTTCTTCTTAAAAAAGGTAGTAATTATAAGGCCATGTTAAGGAAGTGAAAAGATAGGTTTAGTCTAGCTACCGATCAAATCTGGGCTTGAAAAACCTGTGAACTTCAGGGGTTTGTCTGCACTAAATACTCGAGGTTTTGGAGTTTCAATTAAAACAAATCCAACACAGTGTGGGACCCAAGCATTTTCCTGCTGCGCATCAAGAAAGGACAATATTAAAGTATCTGTAGTTGCTTGTGAAAATCCATCCTCAACCTTTCTCAACACACTTCAAAAAACAGGCACAACTTTTCAGGAATACATACAGCAGCTTTAGCAGTTAAAACTAGGAAGGAACAAAGACAGGAAGGGCAACAGGTCACGTTCCATCAGAATTTGACCAAGCTCCAGCTCAGTGTGGGTTGTGCCTGCTGTTCAAACAGTATGGAGAAAACACCAGGACAAAAAATTCACAATCTTCAGGAATCTGAAACCACTCCTTGGAGCATCCCTGCTGTGCTGCTCTGGATGGCCCTACTCAAACCAGATCTGAGTAGCAGGGAGAAGGCATGCACCTCTCTAACCACAGACAGCAAGGGCTGCTCTGGAACTGAAACACGCGTCCACTCCAACTAAAGAAGGGGAAGGAATCCTGATTTTTTTTTTCAGTCTTAAAGTGATATCAACAAAAAAACCCCATCCACACTGCTGTAAATAATAAGCACAACGGTAACTTTTATTCCCAATTAGGAAGTACATAGAGGTGCGATACAGCACCAACATACACACCACAGATGTCACCTCAAGCTCACACAGCTGTGAAAAGCAGCATACAAATGAATGAAAATCTTCTCATGTTCCTCTCACCTGACAGCGCCATCACTCAGCCCATGAGTTCTCATTGTGTTTGCATAGGCAGCTTCTTTCAGTGAAATTCCTACACAGTGAACAGGAAAATCTTCCTGTTTACAAATACTATGTTACAAGGTTATTTAGTTTACTACTTACGTATGCTGAAAGCATTTCCTTATTTTTACAATGTTCCAGTAGCAAAAAGAATATTTTCAGGGAGTTTTTGCCAAGTATTGCTTCTGAAAAAAGTATCTCTCACTTTTATCCCCCTCAACATCTGCAGAGTGTGATAATGCTTTTGAACCAGCAGCTCACAGAAAGAAGGAAGAAAGCCTACCACAATTACAGGCCACCAGAGCAAGGCAGCAGTAGCTACACCCAAGGACAGAGCTCCACCACCAGCTCCTGCAAAGAACCCAAAAGCCACTTTGTGCTCTGTTAAACATTTCCAAACACTCCAGTGTGTACAGACATCACCCAATTCTCCACACACCTACGTGATGCGGAAAGGAGATCAGAAATTATGAACCCTGGTAGAACGGACGACTGCCCCAGCAAGGTCTTTAATGTGCAGTTAGGATTTCCTGCGGTTTGAGTAGTAAACCAACACTGCATCCAGTGAAGGACACCCCTGCACCTCTACCTCTCACTTTCACGTTTTTAAGTCTATTTTTAGCTTGATTGCTTAAAAAACAGGATACAACGTACACAACAAAGCTCAATCTATAGCCCTTGACAAAAAATCTACATCCCGAAAAACCTGCAGTCTGCCACACGTGGTTTTTTCTCCTCAGTTCACTTCAATTCACTCATGCACGTGATTCTGAAGACAGGCTGACAAAACATCCATTAATTCAAAAATCTCAGCTACAGAAGTACTTCAAATATAAGAACTGTTTTCTACATTATCTTGTCCACATGTCACGTGTGTGCTACTATTCTGTCTTGCTTCATTTATTTTATTACTTGTTTATACAGTGCAGCTTCACAGGAGTCTCAATGTTTATTTTCTTTGCTAGTGTGAAGACCTCAGCTTATTCCTAGTCTTTAGAAAGTCTGTGTCATGGTTAAGAATAACTGTTTTGAAAGAATAACTGTGAGTTATTCTGGAGTAAGTTCCTGTCAAAGTAAGCAATACTAAACAAGTTAAGCTTCAGTCCTTTAATCCAATTCAAGCCAGAATTATGCCAGTTTATATGAATTAATGTGTTTATATACTGATGTAAGTACATACTTAAACATTTACATTAAGTAAAACCCATAACTCAGATCCTCATGGACTCTGGATGCCTAGAATGAGGCTAGATCCCGTGTTCTCAGGTAATGAGAGCTGAGACGCATATGAGAAACAATGCGGATCACACACAGTGCTGCCCGTATCTGTAAACCAACAAATACCTTCCCTTCAAAATGAAAGTGAGTATGATGGAGTTCTGCACTTACTTAAAAACAGCTGGAAAAGTCTGTAACTCGTTATGAAGTATGCAATACTAATGGGTAACTATTAAAAAAATCACTATGAATTCTGGTTTGAGACTGCTACAATTTATACTTTGTGCTTTTCATAGAATCACAGAACAGTTTGGGTTGGAAGGGACCTTAAAGCTCCTCCAGTCCAACCCCTGCCATGGGCAGGGACACCTCCCACCAGACCAGGCTGCTCAAAGCCCCATCCAACCTGGCCTTGAACACTGCCAGGGAGGGGGCATCCACAGCTTCCCTGGGCAACCTGTGCTGTGTCTCACCATCCTTACAGTCAAGAATCTCTTCCTCATATCTACTCTACATCTCCCCTCTTCCAGTTTAAAACCATTCCCCCTTGTTCTATCTCTACCTGCCCTTGTAAAAAGTCCCTCCCCAGCTTTCCTGTAGGACCCCTTCAGGAACTGGAAGACTGCAATAAGGTCCCCTTGGAGCCTTCTCCAGGCTGAACAGCCCAACTCTCTTTTGACCCACTGCTGCTAAATGATCTTGCAAACACCTTCCTCCTTCCCACAAATCTCTCTTAACCCAACACTTCTGGACTTCTGTCAGTAATATATACACACACTGTCAATGTGAGATTTCAGCTTTGACAATTCCAGTATTATTCCTTTAGGTACTACAAAAAGGATATGGGCTGTGGAGTCTGAAGGTGCTTATGCCCTTCACAATAGCTTTCCGACCCTGCTAGTTTGAAGAGGACTAATCACCTTTATTTGTTTCAGAAACTATTGCTAAGGAAATAAATGCACTTTTCAATTATCAATTAATCACTCTGTAGCAACCGCAAAATGTTTAAGATGAAGAAACAGTCTTTGTATATCACATTAACCATGCACTAAGGAACTGGGAGGATACTGTTCAACTGTGTTAAAATCTGTGACATCACTTACATTTACTCTTGAGCAATGATGCACAGCAGAGCACACGATAATTCCACTTGCACCGGGTAACTAATCAAACACACATCAGTATTTAGCACACGGTTTTCACAGGCTTAAAAGAAGCATATTATTTAAGTTTCATTCTTCACTCTAAATGAAGTGATTTACATTTCTTTCCTGCTATTTCTGAATCAGCCCAGGAAATAGCACCCTCATGTTTTCCAGGGAGTCAACTCGCTTTCATTTGATATTAATCTGATATTTGTGAAATACTATTATAATAAAATTATTATCATTTTCCCAATTAAACCTTACTTCAAAGAGTACCAGACAACAAAGTATTTTGTCTCAGTATTTGGAAGGCAGAAATATTTGCTAACTGCATGTTGAAGGGAAGTCCTTTTATGGCTATTTTCTCTTTTCCCTCATAGGTATAACCGTTCGGGCCGCAGTCACCACCACAGTCACACTGAACGGCATCCCTCCTGCACACCGCACTGAGGGTACCAAAATTCAGGGTAACTGCTGGAGCCCATGAGCTGCAGTGCCAGAACATACCGGAGGGACACTGCACCCTCTTCTGGCCAGTCCCACCCTGCCTCCCGGGGCTGCAGCCAGGGCTTCCCCAGGCCCGACAGCGACAGCAGAGCCACAAACCCCAGCCAGCAGCACAAGAAGCAGACGTGGCTGTTGTCCTGGTCTGTGCTGCCCTCCATTTCCCAAGGAATACACACAACCTGTGACCTGCCTGCAACAAGCGCAAATTTACGCTAAGTTTCCGAGCTCAAATGCTGTGCAGCGGCAGAGCAGAAAGGCAGAAGTCTGAATATCTCAGCAGCCCTCAACACGTGCCTCCTCCAGCAATTCGAGACTCAGATTACTTGCCACTGCCTCCCCTTCCATGGTGCCAGCACAGCCCTCATGGCACTCCCACAACATAAACAAGGGCTGAAGTAACTAGATTTTTATTGTAACTTCATGTGAACAAACACCTCTGGGATGCCACCGAGCAAAGACCGATCGACCAGAACTGCTGAGCACAGGCGCCTGTGCTACAGTCGGCAGGGGGCACCAAGGACTCACCTGCAGCACCCAGGCTGGAACCTGCCAGCCTTTCCAAACTCCACTTTATGAAAGCTCAATCCCTATCAACCAGTGAAACAGGTTTACAGTTACCGGTAAGAAATCATGAGCTGCTACACACCACCTTTAGAAGAAGAGAATCAGCCTGGAAATATTTCAGGCAAATAAACTAAAAATAGCAAGTAGCTATTAAAATAAAAATAGCAAATAGCACTTTCTCTCCAGGATTCTTTCATTTTCAAGGCCTCTCACCAAAAAGTTTATCAGCTCTTAGCATTTTCCCCCTCACAGAGCTTGAAAACACCAGAGAGCATCAGCAGCAATGGCCTTTCTGATTTATCTGTTTCCTATAACCACTTCAAAGAATGTTTTTTCTCCAGCTTCGTTTGCCTATTGCTAGTTTGGACACCACTGTGAACAACACAGATCTCTTCATACAGAAATTAAAGTCTCTCTTCATCTACATCTTGTAAGAAAGTTGTATGATGAACTTACACCTACTATTCTATTTTTGTGTGCATTTATACAGGTCACATCATAAATCAGGCTTGACTTCTAATACAGACATATTTATCTCCACCGTCAACAAGCTTTGAAACATCTGACCCCAAAGTCTTTCAAATTTAGTTCATAAAAGAGAGAATCATCCAGTTTATAGTTCTATGCAAGAAAAAAACCACACTGGAAGAATCAGAGCTTGTCAGTTATGACTGCAGAACAAGGTGACTATACACAAAATTCTGTCTAACCTGACATTTTGAACAGTGACTACAGGCAGTAAGGTGGATTTCAGTATCAGAGCCAAGAGATAACAAACAAAGTAATCAGAAGCAGATTCAAAACAAACAATAGAAGATAAGCCATGAACAGTTTGTGGAGGTGGCTGGGGACTGTATAGCACCCATAGTGTCTTTCCTATGGCAAAAGCTTACACGGGTTCAAAAAACAATCAGCTCTAAATGCTTGGAACAAAAATGCATTCAATTTCTCCTCTCTAGCTTAAGAATTCCCTAAGCTGCAAGTTCCTGGAGATAGGACTAGACCATGAAGCAGGATCTCTGTACATATTTACCCTCCTCAGTGAGCACTCAATGAGGAGCCTATGCCATGAGTACGGGTGGGGTCAACAGCACCCCGCACTTGGAGGGGAAGAGCCCAGCAGACTACTGGGATGATCGAGGTGTTCCTCCTGTTCAGGGACACTCAAGGCTGACATGGTGGCCCAGGGCTTTAGGTCTGGTATCTAAGAGAGATGAACGACTGAAGCAGATGGCCATTTGATAACAGCCATACTGGATCATGAAAGGTAAAATGAGCAACAAGAACCACTATGCTTTGATGAGCTGGAGCAAGGGATGGGGAGCAGACAGGCAAGCGCGTAAGGCACGGATTTTCTACGTTTATAGTTGTAGCTGGTTACCTTTTAAACTCATCATGATAAAATTCAGATTTGCACGTCACCATCTCACTGGCTTGACTGTCGTCACGACTCCTGACTCCACCAAATACATAAAGCTCAGAGGCAACTCCACAGGCCACTGCCCCAAATCTGAGAATCCAAGGAAAAGAATAGAAGTAATATATCAGAACCATTTCATTCATCTGAACTTTCTCCGTGTTTTACACTTTTTAAATTTACATACATACACACACACACCCCCCCCATGTTCAATATGATGAGATGAGTCACAAATATAAATTCTACACACCCAATTCAGACCATGTAAAAGAACAAACCAGCAAAGTATTCATCTCTGGAAAAAATGCTGAAGTTCCAACTGAACTACAATTTCTAGTTTTCATTTTGCGTCAGGGAAGTAATACTTGTAACATCAGTAGTTTATTTCTACAAAATTCTTATCTGTTGCTTGGATGCTTATACTTACTCAGCCACCTGTTGGCATTATAACTACAGGCCACCATGATTCAGAAAGACATGGTGAGATTCATAGGGCTCTCAGTGCTTCATGAGAGAAAAGACAGCTTCCTCTCATCAGAGTGTCAGAAAAGGCTGCACACAGCAGTGCAGTTCCCCTCTTCCACACCGCTCACCTCCTCTCTTTCAGAGGACAGATTGCTGTCCACTGCTGAGTCCTGGGGTCATAACACTCAACAGATTCAAAGAGTTTTCCATAGGAGCCTCCACCCATTGCATAGATTTTCTTCTTCATAGCTGCATAGCAGCCAATCTAGAGGAAAAAAGAAAAAGTACATCTAAAAATCACACCCAAATGCACAGTACCAAGAGCTCAAAACTAACCAATACACACATATGTGGGTTGCTTGCACTGCATGTCAAATAATGCCACGCACCGTTTTGTTGTGGTATATAAATAAAGAAGCTGCTCTCTCTCATGTCATTTTTGAGACTATTTGTTACAGATTCTACTTGAATCAAAAGACTGGAATACACAAATATATGTTGGCATTAACTATTTAACAATAAGCAATGAGGTAGCACACGATGTAGTTCTTACCTTCCTAACCATGGTCAAGTCTGGCTGCTTGGTCCAAGTCCGGCTATAGATATCATAGCTCTCCATAGAGATTAGCTCCCGTTCCCCATCCTCGCCTCCCAGAATATACAGAATTCCATCAATCTCTACCACACCAAAATTATGTCGTGCCTAAGGAATATCAGTAAAGCCAATGTTGAGAAAAAATAACTGCCACTGTGAATAAATAAATACAATCTGCTTTTCAGTGTATCTGCCTGCAAATTGATACTGGCATATGTCTGGTTTTTGTTTTGTTTTCTTTATAAATGGTGAAGTTTCAAACTCCAGAATAAGATTATTCATTTCTTCAACTAAACAAAACACAAAGGAAACAAATGCATATTTTTAGAAGGCCAGTATACACCGAATAATAAGTCCATTATACGACTGATCCCACGTGGAATTGCTGAAGTTGTGCAGTTCATCTTTACAGCTAGCTCTCCACTAGTGTTGTTGTTCCAGATTTGGAAGTTGCTATCAGACCACAAGTATAACGAGAGGATATAAACAGAAGGCAGTATGTAGCATGATCTCAAATGTGTAAGATGCAAGTGACCAGAGATTCAGAATAAAATTGAGTAGAACAAAAGGAACATTTCGCCAGAGTTAAACAAACAAACAAACAAAAAAATCAAATCCCAACAGTTCTCTTGCCTCATTCATTGGTGGTAAGGAACTCCATGAATTGGTATCTGGATCGTATTTCTCTCCAGAGCTTAGTGTTCCCTTGTTTTCATCCTGACCACCGAGCACAAACAAAAATCCTTCTGTAAAACAAAATGTAACGTGATCTTAAAAACAAGACTCACACTTGTGCACGGAGGAAGACAGCGCAACTGGTGAGCTGGAATTTGCTGAGATCCAGACCAGTCACAAGTCACACTCTGGACTGGAGAAGGTAAAGCACCTATTTATACCTGGGCTCAAGTCTACCCCAGCAGATACTCTTCAACGTATTCAGTGATGCAACAGTTAGAATTTACTTAAAACATGAAATACTCCTGGAGAGACAGATGCCGCAGAGTCCTGCAAAATATTGCGGGAATAGTGACTTTAAGACACTCAGGTTACAGGGTATTTCACAGAATAAAGTAATCTTTTGGGCAGACAAAGGGGAAGCATGGAATAACCCCAGTGCAGTCAATCTTCAAGAAACAAAAACTATTACAAGCTGTATGTCAGATTTTGAGGCACTGGTACGTTTTCATAATATTGACGTTACAAATACAAAGTTCCCCTTTACCTGCTGACAACACTCCATGATTGATCCTTGGAATACTCATAGGAGCAAGTTCAATCCAGAGCTGTCTATTGGGATCATAAAGAGGACACATACACCGCATCACTGAGGTTGGTTTCCGTGATCTGAACACAGGGTGGGGAAGGAACAAACAAAAACAGAGAGACCAGACAGAGTTTTACAAGTTCACTGTCAACAACTTGTGTCTGAAACTTGCTTGTTCAAGTTTTAATATATACTCATAAAGTGTGGCATCTTCCTGGTAAGGAGAAGACCCCCCAAACCCAATGTGTGTAAAAAGTTTTGTACAGACCAGAGACATAAAAGCAGATGTGCTTCAGCTGTACTCCCTCTACCTGTAACATTTTTTATGAAGGAGCTTTGAACAAACTAAGAAGAACTGATAAGGCAGTATCAGTAATGTCTGAGCAAAGTGATCCACAAACTTGACATGCAAAACATTATTTGAGTTTTTATTACACTTCTATAAACAGCAAACATCTAATGCTAAACTTCTTTAAAGAGGACAAAACCATCCCTCCAATGGCAGGGGGCACTCAAAAAGCAAAGGATTATTGTGTGGAAGAGGAATTTTCACCTACTACCTCAGATGCACCAATAACTACGTCTCTTTGGAACCACAGATACTATAAACAAAACAGCTAAAGCACACATTCATTCTTTTTAAGATTTCATAATAGATTTTTTTCAGACCATTAGGAAAGTGTTTCTCCAATGTTCTGTGCTTATTTTAAGTAAAGTTTCTTCAAGTTTATTAAAAAAAAAAAAAAGCCAGTCAACACTTTCTGAATAAAAGACACGTCCTACTTTAAGTCTACTGCACGCTGAATGTCAGAAAATTATCACAAAATAACTACTTACTGCTGAATAATTCACTGAGGTATTTTAGGTGTGCCCGACCAACTTAAAACCAAACTCAAATGACAGAGTAGTAAGCACATTAGGTGCACGTACTCTCTCCACGTGTTTTCAGACGTGCTGTGAATGCCAGACGCTTGTCTTTTACCAACTGCAATGACCTGCAATGCCACTTCATACTTACACTCGCTCTTCTCCACCGACAGTCACTATACACTCCGAGTAACCCCGAGGCTTGAAGGAGGCCAGCATCGCCTCTCCCTGCTGGGGCGGCGTGAGGGGAATGTTGTTGCACTCTTTGACGATCTCCCGTACCAGTGGTTCGCTCATCATCTGCTCACGTAAATACGCTGCGTCTAAGCCCGAAACCCACACTGCTGACATGACATCCTTCATGTGAACCTACAGAGAGAGGTAAATGCCAGAAAATCCCCCAGACTTTACCTAACAGCTCTAAGACACCTGTATATACAGTTGCTTCTGTATTTCTTAAAAAAACCCCACAACTTATGAGTATTTTTAATATTTCAAAGTAATAACAGAAGCTACAAAACAAGGTTAAGAAAATGCATCAAGTCTTTGAAGTTTCACTACAGATGTGCTACTTGCTTTTTCGCTACAAAACCAAGATTACACCATCAAATGCCAAA